CTCCTCAGTTACTCTAGGTTCCGCCTCAGTTACTCTAGGTTCCTCCCCGGTTACTCTAGATTACTCCTAAGTTACTCTAGGTTACTCCTCAGTAACTCTAGGTTCCTCCTCAGTTACTCTATGTAACTCCTCAGTTACTCTAGGTTACTCCTCAGTTACTCTAGGTTACTCCTCAGTTACTCTAGGTTCCTCCTCAGTTACTCTAGGTTCCTCCTCAGTAACTCTATGTTCCTCCTCATGGAAATCCATAGTTATACCATGGAACTCCACAGTTATACCATGGAACTCCATAGTTATATCAGGAAACTCCATAGTTATACCATGGAACTCCATAGTTATACAGCGGAACTCAATAGTTATACCATGGAACTCCATAGTTATACCATGGAATTCAATAGTCATGGAACTCCATAGTTATACAACGGAACTCAATAGTTATACCATGGAACTCCATAGTTATACCACGGAACTCCATAGTTATATTATAAAACTCCATAGTTATATCATAAAACTCCATAGTTATACCCGGAACTCCATAGTTATATCATAAAACTCCATACTTATATCAGGAAACTCCATAGTTATATCAGGAAACTCCAGAGTTATACCATGAAACTCCATAGTTATACCATGGAACTCCATAGTTATACCATGGAACTCCATAGTTATACCATGGAACTCCATAGTTATACCATGGAACTCCATAGTTATACCATGGAACTCCATAGTTATACCATGGAACTCCATAGTTATACCATGGAACTCCATAGTTATACCATGGAACTCCATAGTTATACCATGGAACTCCATAGTTATACCATGGAACTCCATAGTTATACCATGGAACTCCATAGTTATACCATGGAACTCCACAGTTATACCATGGAACTCCACAGTTATACCATGGAACTCTATAGTTATACCATGGAACTCCATAGTTATACCATGGAACTCAATAGGTATACCATGGAAATCCATAGTTATACCATGGAACTCCACAGTTATATCATGGAACTCCATAGTTATACAACGGAACTCAATAGTTATACCACAGAACTCAATAGTTATACCACAGAACTCCATATTTATACCACGGAACTCCATAGTTATACCACGGAACTCCACAGTTATCCCATGGAACTCCATAGTTATTCCATGGAACTCAATAGGTATTCCATGGAAATCTATAGTTATGCCATGGCACTCCACAGTTATACCATGGATCTCAATAGTTATATCATGGAACGCCACAGTTATACCATGGAACTCTTTAGTTATACCAGGGAACTCAATAGTTATATCATGGATCGCCACAGTTATACCATGGAACTAAATAGTTATATCATGGAACGCCATAGTTATACCATGGAATTCAATAGTTATCCCATGAAACTCCACTGTTATACCATGGAACTCAATAGGTATTCCATGGAAATCCATAGTTATACCACGGAACTCCACACTTATACCATGGAACTCCATAGTTATACATACCATGGAACTCAATAGGTATTCCATGGAAATCTATAGTTATGCCATGGCACTCCACAGTTATACCATGCAACTCTATAGTTATACCATGTATCTCCATAGTTATACCATGGAACTCCATAGTTATACCAGGGAACTCAATAGTTATATCACGGAACTCCACAGTTATACCATGGAACTCCATAGTTACACCATGAAACTCTACAGTTATATCATGGAACTCCATAGTTATACCATGGAACTCCATAGTTATACCAGGGAACTCCATAGTTATACCACAGAACTCCATAGTTATACCACGGAACTCCATAGATATACCATGAAACTCCATAGCTATACCAGGGAACTCCATAGCTATACCAGGGAACTCCATAGTTATACCATGGAACTCAATAGTTATATCATGGAACTCCACAGTTATACCATGGAACTCCATAGTTATACCATGAAACTCCACAGTTATATCATGGAACTCCATAGTTATACCATGGAACTCCATAGTTATACCAGGGAACTCCATAGTTATACCACAGAACTCCATAGTTATACCACGGAACTCCATAGATATACCATGAAACTCCATAGCTATACCAGGGAACTCCATAGCTATACCAGGGAACTCCATAGTTATACCATGGAACTCAATAGTTATATCATGAAACTCCACAGTTATACCATGGATCTCAATAGTTATATCATGGAACTCCACAGTTATACCATGGAATTCAATAGTTATACCATGAAACTCCACTGTTATACCATGGAACTCAATAGTTATATCATGAAACTTCACAGTTATACCATGGATCTCAATAGTTATATCATGGAAATCCACAGTTATACCATGGAATTCAATAGTTATACCATTAAACTCCACTGTTATACCATGGAACTCAATAGTTATATCATGAAACTCCACAGTTATACCATGGAACTCCATAGATATACCATGAAACTCCACAGCTATACCAGGGAACTTCGTAGTTATACCACGGAACTCCATAGCTTTACCATGGACCTCCACAGTTATACCATGGAACTCCATAGATATACCATGAAACTCCATAGTTATACCAGGGAACTCCATTGTTATACCACGGAACGCCATAGTTTTAACATGGAACTCCACACTTATACCATGGAGCTTCATAGTTATACCATGGAACTCCATAGTGATACCATGAAACTACATAGTTATACCATGAAACTCCACAGCTATACCAGGGAACTTCATAGTTATACCACGGAACTCCATAGCTTTACCATGGAACTCCACAGTTATACCATGGAACTCCATAGATATACCATGAAACTCCACAGCTATACCAGGGAACTCCATAGTTATACCACGGAACTCCATAGTTATACCATGGAACTCAATAGTTATACCATGGAACTCCATAGTTATACCAGGGAACTCCATAGTTATACCACAGAACTCCATAGTTATACCACGGAACTCCATAGATATACCATGAAACTCCACAGCTATACCAGGGAACTCCATAGTTATACCACGGAACTCCATAGTTATACCAGGGAACTCTATTGTTATACCACGGAACGCCATAGTTTTAACATGGAACTCCATAGTTATACCATGAAGCTTCATAGTTATACCACGGAACTCCATAGTTATACCACGGAACTCCATAGTTATACCAGGGAACTCCATTGTTATACCACGGAACGCCATAGTTTTAACATGGAACTCCATAGTTATACCATGGAGCTTCATAGTTATACCATGGAACTCCATAGTTATACCACGGAACTCCATAGTTATACCAGGGAACTCCATTGTTATACCACGGAACGCCATAGTTTTAACATGGAACTCCACACTTATACCATGGAGCTTCATAGTTATACCACGGAATTCCATAGTTATACCACGGAACTCCATAGTTATACCATGGAACTCAATAGTTATACCAGGGGACTTAATAGTTATACCACGGAACTCCATAGTTATACCACGGAACTCCATAGTTATACCAAGGAACTCCATAGTTATACCACGGTACTCCATAGTTATAACATTGAACTCCATAGCTTTACCAGGGAACTCCATAATTATACCAGGAAACTCCATAGTTTTAACATGGAACTCCATAGTTATACCATGGAAATCCATAGTTATACCAAGGAACTCCGTCGTTTTACCAGGGAACTCCATAGATTACCATGTTAAACCTTAGTTATATTATCTAACGCCGTAGTAATGCCCTGTTATTTCTTAGTTATACCATGTTACGTTTTTGCCATATCATGTTACTTGTTATCTTTACTGTTACATTTCTCTACTCGTTAGTTATACTATGCTACTTCTTTATTACTCTTTGTTACTCTACAATTTCACTATTATCTAACAAATTGGTGTTTATTTTCCTCCTCAGCTCGACCACTGACTCAGAATTCCTCACCTGTGCTTGTAACACCTACAAGTCCAGCATACTGGAGGTTATGGTAGGTAATCCAGAACAATCAGACTGCTTAAAGACATTTCGATTCTATGTTGGATTCGGTTATAAAATACATGAACTTAAACACCTATAATAAGTGAATCCAGTTCTAAAGTGTTGAATAAACCCACTATTAGCATAGGTTTAATTTATACAGTGATGTAATTAACAAGAACATGATGATTTCATTACGTTAATTTTATTCACGTGCACATGAATATTTAGCTCAGGAGTCCGAATATTAAAGTTAACTGATGTCGGGACGCGGCGGCTGTCATCCGTCCGTCCGTATCACATCCTATTTTCCTATCGATTTTTATTTGACTTTGAATTTACTATCCATGGACTAAGGGAATAGCGCGAATGAGACATCCCTTTAGACAGGAGGGCTGGGACAAAAAAAAAGGATAAATATTACTTCAAAGAATATAGTAAAATACAGAACTGTAGATGAAGGGAATTCGTTCCTTCAACATTGTATGAATATAAACTGACCCTCTGAAGACAGAGGCGAGGGCCAAGAAGTTGAAAAAGAAGATAAATATTTATAGAACTACTCCTAATGAAGTGATTTTAACCTATTTCGGCATGAGGTATATCGTCATTGAGGGAACTTAACGTTCTGTCTTAAATGTGAATGTATTAGGTAATTTGATATAGTTAGTTATGAAACATACAACACAACATGAAATTTCAATGTCTTACATATTAAAGTGATGGTCCCCTGAAGATGTTGATATTAAGAGAAATGGGAGTTTAATGATTATGTTTCAGAGTAGACCCTTGAATCAGTACGAGGATAATAAACAAATAACCATCTATATACGGAGATAGTAAGTTCCACCGTCATTGTATAATGGTCCGAAGAAAAAAACAATAAGTTATTTTCAGTTCAACCTAATGTAGGTTCATGTGCAAAAGGTAGAGCAGACCGCAGAGAGGAAGTTGTCCTGTCGCGACTACGCATAGGCCATACCTACATCACACATAGCTACATTTTGCATTGGGGAGGCCGACCTTGTTGTCATGCCTGTGATCAGCCATTTACAGTCAAACACTTTATGATTGAATGCGCTGATTTCAAACAAATACGTGACAGATTTTATAATGTACCCTCTATGAAACGTTTATTCGATACAGTTTCTGTGCAATCAATCCATGATTATTTACATTCAAATAATCTCTATAATAAGAAATTATATATTTTATAAACAATTCGTTTGCTATTGATATATTTCGACATCTTCACACATTTTAACCTTTTGTTTCTTGTTTTAATGTATTTAGGTTTTTGTGAATGTCTATTTTTACACTGTTGTTTGGCCCTAAACGACTCAAATTGTCGACGGGACGTAAAACAATACAAAATCGATTTAAGGATTGGTTGTCATATTTTTGACATGCATTGGTGTGTAACATACATTGACTTATAACTTACATGTTAAATATGTAGGTAAGCCAATGTATGTTCCACACCAATGCATGTCAAAAATATGACAACCTATACGTATATTTACATTTTATGTTAATCAACTTACAGTTCACGCAGAAATAAAGACATAATATCAGTCTTAACATGTTTCAACGTCAGGGTAAATGCATACAGAGAACAGCCACCAGTTGACAATGGAGCAGGGCAATCTCCAACGTTACAGTTATGACGTCATAAGCATAGCGACGTCACAATAGTCCAATGTATGTTATTTAATATACGGTAAATACCGAAAAAAAAATGTGCACTTTTTTGCATAAACCGCTTCGCGGATTTATGCAAAAAAGTGCACAATTTTTTTTCGGTATATACCGTATATACCAAAACAAAATCTTGGTCATTCTTTATAATTTAGTTTAAAAAACGTAGACAAACACGTTGTAAATGCACAGTTAAAGATTTATTTAATTTTTACGTAAACTAAACAATTGCGCTAAAAAAATGCTGCGTTGTAATTTTGCATTCTGAAGTGTAAAGAGTAGTTCCGTCATCAGTTGTTTTTCTTTTTAGGTATATACGATATATACCAAAAAAAATATTATGGGGAGATAGGCAAAATTAAATTATACGGAAAAAACATACATTGGGCCCGGTAGAACCATCTAGGCTCTGTGCAGTAGAAATGTAAATATAAATAATTAATAAGTATTTGCCTGACGATCCATCCGTGTAAAGCAACATAGGACAGGAAAATGAAAAACAAAGTACTTCCTGTTATAAAGGGTGGTTATGTCATTCATTAAATGTAGAGTTACACTTCCAAATGGGCGGAGCCTCTCGTTCAGCTATATATTGATAGTATGAGCTCTTCTTACTATTGGTATGTTAAAGCAACACCTTTTTGCAAGAAGTATATTTTCGCAGTATTACTGTTACAAACTAACATGTCACTGTATATAGTTGTACGGTGGTCTTTCATAGATATTTAACCCGTATGTGAATAGTTATGTTTTACAAATAGGGAATCTTACATGAGTGTCCATGCCATATTGAACTTATTAAACGAGTTCAATAAGTTGATGTGACACGAGCCTGTAGGTGAGTCTCATATCAAATAATTGAACGAATTTAATTCAATATGACATGGACATGAGTGCACTCATATCAGATTGTGTTTATCAAATTATAACATTCATAATTTGAAGAAAAAAATCAAATACGAATATTTGATGTCTGTTGACTATATAGTTAAAACCAAAGTACTCCGATCATAGTGTTGTCGTTTCGCGAAGTGCAAAATAGGTCCAGAGTTATTATTTTTTAATAATGAACAGTTTTAACTGCATTGAAAATAACATTAACAAAATAGATATTTCAAATTCATTTCAAAAACCCAGTAAATGTGTCATGTGGTATAGTAAATAAAAGTAGTACCTTCAGTGTTCCCACGGTATTGACCAGTCACAGCACCTTTACGTTTTATTACATGTGTGTAATACCATATTTATGACATGGCCGTGTGACATAGTAAAATGGGTCAGTTATGTGATAAAACACTTTATCATTGAAATACCGGAACCAATGTGTTATCCTCCATGTTTGTAGGGTTCTCTAGCGTGCCTCATTCCAGGACTAGACTTCTCAATGAACACTCCCCCGCCTGTGGCAACAACACCCGTCTCACCAACAGCTGGTACAAACATGACTATGTCCTCGGCCATACCAACGAGCCCTATCATCACCATATATACCTCTCAACCCCGACGGGGTGGTAGCCCTGGACTTGGAGCACTCTTTAATCAGGAATTGGCTGATATGATAAAAAATATAACGTCAAAGCTTGGGGAAGAAGTTTTTGACAAACTTTGCGAGTAAGTAATGTAAAATAGGGGATTTTCTTCATTCACATTCATATGTTCACATAAATAATGCCTGTTTCAGCATAGGTTTTTTTTCTTAAAAAGGAATTTTATTATTATCTATGAATAAATATTTTCTCACATACATTAAGTACTCGTGTACCCACTCTCACACTCCCAAACACTGAAACTTTACCTCGCACAGGCATTATAATCATCTCTTACATAAAAACACGTACAGGGTTACTCATACCAACTCTCACACTCCCACACACTGGAACTGGCACAGACATTATAATCATCTCTTACATAAAAAACGTACTCACCTACAGGGTTACTCATACCAACTCTCACACTCCCACACACTGGAACTGGCACAGGCATCATAATCATCTCTTACATAAAAACACGTACTCACCTACAGTGTTACTCATACCAACTCTCACACTCCCACACACTGGAACTGGCACAGGCATTATAATCATCTCTTACATAAAAACACGTACTCACCTACAGGGTCACTCATACCCACTCTCACACTCCCACACACTCCCACACACTTGAACATTTCCTCGCACACGCATTCTCACCATCTCTCACATACATACAGGTACACAAGAACAGAGTTACTCATACCGACTCTCACACTCTCAATTCTCCATTATTTCTCAGGCAATATATGTTTTAATTAACAGTTTTCCGTTTAAAAGTCTCTTTCGTTTTCGTTTCCAGAGGCATACCAGCGTTACAGCAATGCGTAACATCCGGCTACAAACAATCCACGAAACCGGCTGATGTTGTTTTGAGGAGGTTTTTTAATCTTGACAACTTGGGAAAAGTCTTAACCTCTGTATGTAAACTCAAAGCAGGTAAGACACATTTCAAACATTCTTTACAAGATTTATCAGCAATTGTTTGTGTTTTTGAATTATTTTATACTTTTATGAGATCTTTCATCAGAATGGGATATGGTGACATTCACTTTTGAAAAACAGAATTCCCTGCAACAGATCTTCGTTTTGCGTCTAACTAACTAACTTCAGGACATCTATCTATACTTAGTTTTCGAAATACGTTTTTTCTCAGGATACGACCGGGTGTTAGATACGCATGTCACGTGATATGGGGCATATAAACTTCCGGCTAGCATCGAAAATCTTACAGTTGCACACACACACAAAAAATAGCTTGTGCGCGGTTCCAAAGGGTTGGAGATGTGAAATTTCAGCCATTTTCGTCAAAGTTTACCAATATCTCACTCCGATGAAGTTGGCTTGCTACTGATTTACGTTTACACCAGAAGTAAATATGTCTGTCTTAATTGATTGCCAAATCACGGGACTTTTGTTCCGGAAACTTGTATATCGGAAACGACCGTGCATTTTGTATAAGAGCTAGTTGATTTACTTAAGCATTGAACTGTTTTTGTATGGTATTTATGATCTATTTGAATGACACAGCTTTGCAAGCAAACAACATAATGCGCGCTGTGTCATTAAAATAGATCATAAATCCCATACAAAAACAGTTCAATACTTAGATTTACGTTTCTCTGCCTCTTATGTTCTTTTTTAACTTATAATTTATATTTAAAATTAAAAATGCCCGTCTTATCGACAGTCCTCATAATTTCGTTCAATAGTTTGAACAGCGTATTGTCGCGTGCTGATTGGCAAACAAAGTAGTACTTTGAAATTTGAACAAACACTTCAATTTTATTCCACAATTCAGTATCAATACAATTGCGTATGATATGTCTATAGGGTAATCTAGGTTTATCAATAGAACTCTGAGCTGGAAGTTAGATTTGGAATTGTTTCGATTTTTCCGCGGAACAAATTTGTATTTGTTGATTGTATGGGAACCTGACAACAGTCGGTAGATTCTATAACAGCATCGTTATTTGACATGGCGTCAGAAACTGAGGAACCATGGATCCGAGACGCGTGAAACTGACAGCGTTTGAAGTGAGTGATCTTGCGACGGAGCACAGGTTCGTTACAAATGTCTGAAATGTTTAGGTGTGCTGTGACTCATATCAGTAGGTGTGTAACATATGTGTCAGTAGGTCTATAGAATATGTGTATTTCAGGCATTTGTAACGAACCCCTGTTGATCAATGCAGTGTAACAGACGATAATTCTGATAAATTGCATGAGCATTAAAATTGTTTACATTGCCGGCATTGGTGATTTCAACCGATGTGCATTTTGTACGATATTGCAGACCTTGGTCTTGTTTTCATTGTAAAACAGTGTTTTTTATTTTATTTTTTATTTTGCACATAAATTTACAATGACATTGTCAAATCTCACAATGCCCAGTGATATTTCAGCAGCCGTCATGTTTATTTATATTGGATATTGTAGTTCCGGTCAGTGTTGTATTAATACGCTAAGAATTGTGTCTCGTGATGCATGGTAATTAAAGTCCCATCAACGACACAGCTTTCAAAGAGGCTACATAGTAACAATGCCATGCAAATGTAAATATTATCCGTTTAAAAAAATTACATGTTTGTTCAACTTCATTACTTCCATTCACTCTCAATCGAAAGACGGTCAGATTTACAGATATTCCTAACAAACGGTGTCATACAATTTTGTAAAAATATCGTTGACCTACATTCAAAGACATATGGTTTTCGCTACATTATAATATTCAAACCACTTCATATAACATTCTTTAAAAATACAGTATCTGTTCTTTTGTATTTGTTTGGGTAACGTTTCTTTGAAATATGTCGAAATGAACTACATGTTCTTTCCGTAGGGCTAGGTGTGTTAGAATGTTTAGAAATTTACTTTCGTGTAACGGTATCACAAACTTAGGGTTAGAATATAAACTCCATCACGTGACACAAATGCAACTCGGACAGAAATACCCAGCAAAGCATATATCCCAACTAGAACTTACAGCCCAGCTAGATATACCAAGGCAGTCATATATCTAGAAAATTCTACTGTTGTCTAGATTGCTGTTTTGTCAGACGAACTATTTGTTCAGCTGTATACTGTTTTTAGTATCATTTTTTTAAAGGTTGCAGTCATCTGTGAATCTCAATCGGGACCTGTCGGCACTTTACGTTAACGAGAAAATACAAATACGTTTTTTCTCGTTTACGGAAGTTGCCGACGGTTCCCGATCGTGTCAACACGACAACTTTCTGTAGAATTATAATCCCATGTCTGCGGAGAAGCACACGATTATCACACGATTATCCAATGAACATATTTTGTCTCATTTGTAGAAATATTTGACAAAGGAGAGTGTGTGACAGACGCAGCGCTGCCCATGTCTGCCTGTGTAGCGTTGTCGTTATTTTCAATGCCACAGTCACCGACGGATATGATGTCCGGAGACCTGGACATGTATTGTCCGTGAGTACAAGTTATTTTTTCCGGGGGGAGGGGGAAGTAGAGAAAGTGTCTTGATATTTTGTTCCATTATAACATGGTACTCTGCAAATAGGTTACATACAAATTTACTATAAAACTCTAGCGAGCTTCATGGAATGCGTATATAACTGATTTGCGTGCATAATGGCATAAAAATCAGAAAAAAAGTTCAATCATTATATGAAATGACAAATTCGTACAAAAAACAAGATATCCAAAATTTTATTTCAATTTTATTTACGACGATATTGCATGTATGAACTATTTATTGTTATTTCTATTCTATGATACGTCTTGTAATTATCCTGTATCGTATTACGGTATTGCAACATATACAATACGCCAGTTTAAATAACATACACGATATCTGTTGTGTTTTTTACGATATCGCATACTTGCATCTTTTACGAAATACAAGACAGGCATTGCTCCTGGAACAATTGTTGGTCATTGTCAAACGTCGTATGTATGTTGTGATTTAATACATGTACTTGTTTCCATCCAGATTTGCCGGTGAAGTTGTTCGGTGTATAAGCATTCAGGCGAAATCCTGCAGCCCTAGCCTGGGGACCACGATAAGAAACCTGCTGCCTGACCTGCTATCCCCTAGCTGTGGTCAGCTGGCTGCCGCGGAGACCAATAATCCCATCATGGCAACTCCGGTCATGTGCTCTCTATCTACTCTGCCTAAGACACTAAATATGGTTGAGGCATTGGGCACTAGTCAACCAAGTGCATCACAAATTAATGCAATGATCGGTGATTTCATAGATGTATATTGCGGGTAAGTAAGAGTTCTGGGAAGTGAACTATGATCTATTTTATAGTAAAATGGATTATTTTTTTAAAGTTGACGTCAAACTTGTACACGTGCTTAATACTTGAATAGAGTGACGTTAGACTCCATGAGAGCCATTGATATTTGTTAAAAGTGACGCCAGACTGTATATGTACTTAATCCTTTCACCCCTGTGCAACTTTAGTAAACTCTACCAGGCATTGATCTGGATAAGTCCATTATGGTCTAAAGCGGTGAAAGGGTTAATATTTGATAAGAGTGACGTTAGACCTTGCATGATAAGAGCTGAGTGACACTGTATGCATTTTATACTCATTCAGAGATCTGTCCAGCCTTTTGACGTGTATGCACAATGAGTTGCCGTCCTCTGTGAATTCAATGGACAAGTTCATCAAGGCGATTGTTGACGTAAACCAGTTCGCCTATGCCGATACGATAACCCAATATATATGTGAACCATCCCGAGTACAAGGTACGCTTGACCATTGATCTTTCATATGACTGAATCTAAGTCAGGGTCAACTCCGAATTCGGACATATTCTAGAATTCTAAGTACGGCTTTCAGATTCAGCGTAGCAACAAGTTAACTGATTCACTCCTAAAATTTCACAATGGACTATTCCAACCTTTGAATTGGTCGAGTTCAAATGTGTCTTCAGGGGTATATGAGTTGATCAGTAAAATATGATTAAGCCTTTTTTTCAAAAGAAGTATTCCATGTAAAACCACACGTTGTGATGCATTTTACAGAATTACAATTGTTAAAAATTTGAGAACATGTATTTGAAAATATAAATAATAATAATACAGAGAAAAAAAACCCGAAACTATTAGTTACAAAAGAAATTAGAAACAAATATTGAACTCTTCCTCGCAACAATATCTGATGCAGTAGAATCCATTTCCTTAACACACCAGTACTTTGCCGTGCAATCGCATCGTTCTAACGGGGAAAAAGAAAACAACAAAAAAAACCCTTTCGTTACTTTTTCGATAAGCGCTTGTTCTGGAAGGGCGATCATATTGTAGTCATGTGTGCGCTTGTATCGCAAGCTGTCCCTTACAAGGGAGATATTAAGAGCGAGCAATGTGCGTTTCTTGGAACATCAATGCGCTTGACCTATAACGTTTACTTATATAAGATATTTTGAATGTTGTAATAGCATTTTACTGGTGTATTTTACTGATGCAAGTGTAATTGATATTGTGGTTTCAGCCATCAAAGACGCGTTGCCCTGTTTGATGACTAAAGGAAATGAGATAGGTATCTGCATGCAACAGCAGGCTTTCAATTTCAACTTCTCCACAATTGGAATTGATGCGTCTAAGGACAGACTGGCATATTGTGGGTAAGTATTGGGGTGGACAATAGCAGGAGTGTTTACATTTTGTGTATGTAGCAAATAGCAAAAATAGTTAGCAATATTGGCGCAAACACGTCATACACAAGCGACACGTGTTTTGCTCCTGATAGACTATCATACACACATTACAAATGGTGTGCTCCTGATAGACTATCATACACACATGACACGTGTTGTGCTCCTTAAAGACTATCATACACACATGACATGTGTTGTGCTCCTGATAGACTATCATACACACATGACACGTGGTGTGCTCCTGATCGACTCTCATACACACATGACTCGTGTTTTGCTCCTGATAGACTAACATACACACGTGACATGTCTTTTGCTTTTGTTGGGACCATCATACACACGTGACATGTCTTTTGCTTTTGTTGGGACTAACATACACACATGACAAATTGTGTGCTCCTGATAGTCTCTCATACACACATGACACGCGTTGTGCTCCTTAAAGACTATCATAAACACATGACATGTGTTGTTCTCCTGATAGACTCTCATACACTCATGACACGTGTTGTGCTCCTGATAGACTATCATACACACATGCCAAATGTTGTGCTCCTGAAAGACTATCATACACACATGCCACGTGTTGTGCTCCTTATAGACTATCAAACAGTTAATTCAAGTCAATTGTGTTTATTGTGATGCCATATATCACAATTACATCGTACACGTATATATAGTTACACGGTATGAAAACATATATCGCATATCACATGACAAATGCTGTGTTTTTCTTGGGACTAGCATACACACGTGACACGTCTTGTGCTTTTGTTGGGACTAGCATACACACGTGTCACATTTTGTGCTTTTGTTGCGACCATCATACACACGTGACATGTCTTTTGCTTTTGTTGGAACTAGCATACTCACGTGACATGTCTTGTGCTTTTGTTGAGACCATCATACACACGTGACACGTCTTGTGCTTTTGTTGGGACTAGCATACACACGTGACACGTCTTGTGCTTTTGTTGGGACTATCATACACACGTGACAGGTCTTGTGCTTTTGTTGTGACTAGCATACACACGTGACATGTGTTGTGCTTTTGTTGGGACTAGCATACACACGTGAACACACATGACACGTGTTGTGCTCCTGATAGACTATCATACACACATGACACGTGTTGTGCTCCTGATAGACTATCATACACACATGACACGTGTTGTGCTCCTGATAGACTATCATACACACATGACAGGTGTTGTGCTCCTGATAGACTATCATACACACATGACAGGTGTTGTGCTCCTGATAGACTATCATACACACATGCCAAATGTTGTGCTCCTGAAAGACTATCAAACAGTAAATTCAAGTCAATTGTGTTTATTGTGATGCCATATATCACAATTACATCGTACACGTATATATAGTTACACGGTATGAAAACATATATCGCATATCGCATGACAAATGCTGTGTTTTTCTTGGGACTAGCATACACACGTGAAACGTCTTGTGCTTTTTTGGGACTAGCATACACACTTGGCACGTGCTGGACTTTTGTTGGGACTAGCCTACACACGGGACACGTCTTGTACTTTTGTTGGGACTAGCATACCCATGTGACACGTCTTATGCTTTTGTTGGGACTAGCATTAACACGTGACATGTCTTGTGCTTTTGTAAGGACTAGCATACACACGTGACATGTCTTGTGCTTTTGTTGGGAGTAGCATACACACGTGACAAGTCTTGTTCTTTTGTTGGGACTAGCAAACACACATGACATATGTTGTGCTTTTGTGAGGACTAGCGTACACACTTAACACGTCCTGTGCTTTTGTTGGGACTAGCATACACACGTGACATGTCTTGTGCTTTTGTTAGGACTAGCATACACACGTGACACGTCTTGTTCTTTTGTTGGGACTAGCATACACACGTGACACGTCTTGTGCTTTTGTTAGGACTAGCATACACACGTGACACGTCTTGTACTTTTGTTGGGACTAGCATACACACGTGACTTGTCTTGTGCTTTTGTTAGGACTAGCATACACACGTGACACGTCTTGTGCTTTTGTTGGGACCATCATACACACGTGACATGTCTTGTGCTTTTGTTGGGACTAGCATACACACGTGACATGTCTTGTGCTATTGTAGGGACTAGCATACACACGTGACACGTCTTGTGCTTTTGTTAGGACTAGCATACACACGTGACAGGTCTTGTGCTTTTGTTGGGACTAGCATACACACGTGACACGTCTTGTGCTTTTTTGGGACTAGCATACACACTTGGCACGTGCTGGACTTTTGTTGGGACTAGCATACACACGGGACACGTCTTGTGCTTTTGTTGGGACTAGCATACACACGTGACATGTCTTTTGCTTTTGTTGGGACTAGCATACACACGTAAAACGTCTTGTACTTTTGTTGGGACGAGCATACACACGTGACTTGTCTTGTGCTTTTGTTAGGACTAGCATACACACGTGACTTGTCTTGTGCTTTTGTTGGGACTAGCATACACACGTGACATGTCTTTTGCTTTTGTTGGGACTAGCATACACACGTGACACGTCTTGTGCTTTTGTTGGGACCATCATACACACATGACACATCTTGCACTTTTGTTGGGGCTAGCATACACACGTGACTTGTCTTGTGCTTTTGTTGGGACTAGCATACACACGTGACATGTCTTGTGATACACACGTGACATGTCTTGTGCTTTTGTCAGGACTAGCATACACACGTGACATGTCTTGTGATACACACGTGACATGTCTTGTGCTTTTGTAAGGCCTAGCATACACACGTGACATGTCTTGTGCTTTTGTTAGGACTAGCATACACATGTGACACGTCTTATGCTTTTATTGGGACTAGCATACACACGTGACATGTCTTGTGCTTTTGTAAGGACTAGCATACACACGTGACATGTCTTGTGCTTTTGTTGGGACTAGCATACACACGTGACAAGACTTGTTCTTTTGTTTGGACTAGCAAACACACATGACATATGTTGTGCTTTTGTGAGGACTAGAATACACACGTGACACGTCCTGTGCTTTTGTTAGGACTAGCATACACACGTGACACGTCTTGCGCTTTTGTTGGGACTAGCATACACACGTGACATGTGTTGTACTTTTGTTGGGACTAGCATACACACGTGACATGTCTTTTGCTTTTGTTGGGACTAGCATACACACGTGACATGTCTTGTGATACACACGTGACATGTCTTGTGCTTTTGTTGGGACTAGCATACACACGTGACAAGACTTGTTCTTTTGTTTGGACTAGCAAACACACATGACATATGTTGTGCTTTTGTGAGGACTAGAATACACACGTGACACGTCCTGTGCTTTTGTTGGGACTAGCATACACACGTGACACGTCTTGTGCTTTTGTTGGGACTAGCATACACACGTGACATGTCTTGTGCTATTGTAGGGACTAGCATACACACGTGACACGTCTTGCGCTTTTGTTGGGACTAGCATACACACGTGACATGTGTTGTACTTTTGTTGGGACTAGCATACACACGTGACATGTCTTTTGCTTTTGTTGGGACTATCCTAATATAAACTGGATTGTATTTATAAAACCTGAATATATCCATAATGCAGATATAAATAATAAATAGGAAATATTGTGTACGAAGTAGACTGTTAATGGTCATATGAAGATACTCAAAGTTATCATTAGGGCAAGTATACTTTAAACAAAAACAGTTATTTTATTCAAACTATCATTATGATGAAGACTGTCATGGTGGATTGTAAGGAATGTATTATATGTTATAACAAATTATACTCTCATATCTTTGTATATACAATGTAGAACTAGATAACTAAAAGTCAACTGTATCTGTTTGCTTATATACACAGGCCGATCCAGAGCGTCATGACCTGTGCTATCGACACCGTTATGTCACAGTGTGACGCTGACCTTGCGGCAGAATCCCGCGACATCTACTTATCCCTGATGAGGACAGACTGTAACGGCGCCCGGAACGGTGAATTACAGGGCGCGATTGACGCGCAGCGACAGGATAACAACAATGCCTACACAATCCATCCGACTCTAACCCTCCTCATGATGATGGTCTTTCTCCTACTGTAGTCTATGTCGTCTTTCTCCTTCTGTAGTTCTCTATGATGCCACCGTTTCATCCGTTGACAGAACAGTTGACTCCATTTGAAAGATTCAATCTCGCTGAAAAACAATCGGATGCTGACGAACTGCAATGTTGTTACTGAACCGGTATTGCCGTTGAAATGTAGTTGTTGTGTACACAGGGACCTGAGAATTTGTTACAGCTATATTTGGACCTATATAATGTAAAATGTATTCTCCTTCCGCGGACATGATCTCCGTTTCCTCCAAAAACACACAATTTAAGAGTTTCAGAGTTTTTCGCAGTCATCGTACCACTTTTTTTTTAATATGAATGAGGTTGAGGTCAGCGCGTGCCGAGACCCGTGGGGTGATTTATTGGAAGCGCAGCTATTTTTTCGCTAAACCAACCAACACTGCATGTTTCGGCACGCGCTGACCTCAACCTCATTAATGTTCAAACATTTTAGCAATTGCTTCGTGTAATTCATCCTCTGGAAAATGATCGTCTGAAAGATAGATCTTTATTTTCGTTTATTCATTTTGTTCTGCCGGATGGCATGGCCCCTCTCCTCTCCCCTACCCTCGTTCCTATATGAATCTACTCCGTGCAAGGGCTAGCTGCGCCCCTGAATGTAAATACCTGCGCCTTGTCTGAGAGATACAAAATGTAGTTCACTCTGATCATTGATTCTAAACAAAAAAAGAAGCGTCTTTTATTTTCATTATTTTGATAAATATATCTATCCATTTCTTTGGTATGGTGAACGACATTATTTGAGAAATACTTTCGTGTATTCGTTCATTCATTCAGCATGTTTTGTGTTTGTTTTTTTCATCATCTTCGCCATTTATAAACAGTTCCATTCATCAATTCATTAATTCCCCAAATTCATCAAGTCCGTCATTTTTGACTTCTCCATTAAAAAACTTCCATTTACCATGTCTAGTTTAAAATGCGATGATTTACCAACCTTGTAAGAGCCTATGTTTTAAACATTATAACAAGAACTATAACACAATTAGGTATATAATGCTGTTTTTATTCATTTATCTGTCAATCTTTAGTTATTGTATTTCTGTAATTTAATGTACACATGATTGAGTATGTTTCTTTGATTGTTTTCAATAAAATATGTTTAAATATTATGAAGCTTTTTATATTTAATTCAAATTTCAAAAGGTGCCCTTATCAATGTTTGCCGACCCGACTTGTGCAAACTAGACAAACATTCTTATAAAAAAAACTTACAACCCGAAATTGACAAAACAATAATTAAATACGTGTTCAAATAACCCCCCACATGTAGCTAGATAAGCATTGGATGTACTTAAGAATAACCCTGCAGGTACTTAAGAATAACCCTGCAGGTAGGGCGTCAGAATTGTACCTGCTGCCCCCAATTGCATGATCGTAAGAGGCGACTAAATTTGGGACCTTATCTCTTCTCTCCTTTCTAAATAACTTTCTTCTTCCTAATGTCTCCCTTGACAATGCCTCACTTTTGGCCATTTGTTGAGCGTTCGCCCCTGTGAGGAAGGCTTTGGGTTCTGTCCCCTGGCCGAGACATACCAAAGTCTTTAAAAATGGTAGTTTCTACTCCTGCTTAACGCTCAGCAAATTAGGAGTGGGACGACTGGTTCACCCGTTGTCAGTATAATGTGACCGGGTGGGGCGTCCTGCTGGGTGTCTTCGGCAGTATGTTTCAGTGAGGTAGCACTATAAAGCCGGCATCAGTTCCGCGCTATCACAAGGAGACAAACACGAACATATCGCAGCCTCCCAAAAAACACACATACACTACACGCATGCATCTTGCACACAGGGGAGGCCGTCCTTAAATGACCTTAGCTGTTAATAGGACGTTAAACAAAATCAAACAAACAAACAAACAAAAAAGTACTTAAGAAACGAATGGTCAATTAATCATGTCCTTCCTGTCGTTTGACGCGAGCTCCTGGCGTATGACGCGCGCTCATGTAGCGATCCTCTTGTGTATCACAGGAAGTAACGCGCGCTCCGCAACAGGTTCCGGAGGACGATGTTGATCTACAGGTCTTGAACACTCAGGATTGAGGTCATTCAATATTATCTTCACGATCATGGGCAAATACAGCTCTGCTTAATTTAGGGTTTTTTAAAATTATATTTTTAACGATAACAGGTCTCGGAAACAACTTAATGTAAATCGGTCTCCTGGTCATCCTCGAAATCCAAGGTATCATACATTTTCTACCCCACTGTGAGTTGTCGTGAAAAATCGAAGCTCTCACCGCGACACCCTGTGGATGATACAAATAGACTAGTCTGATGTCTTGGGGGGAAAATATCAGTTGTATCATAGTTGAGTCATAGTACAATCGACAGGCTTGTTATGTTGGGTGTAGCTCATATATAATCTGCAAATGACAGGTATCGGGGAGGCGATTGGTAGGCTATCGTACCTGGAACCAATTGAATTGCTTACTGCGAACGTTGTATTTATTGTCTCACGACTTATTCTAGGGGTGCAGAGGAACTATGTGTGTCGAATATATCATTGGTCCTGTGCATATCTAAACGCCAAAAATGAGAAAACCGACTTGTGATACAAATAAACTATGTGCATTTACTTAGTATAGACGTAATAATTTATCATATTAGTAACAGTGTAAAGTAAATATCGACCATCTCCTGATTGCTTAAACACTTAAAAATATAAACCAGGAATAAAGGATATACAGTAAAATATCGTTCTACTGGCCTCAAATTTTGTTCAGATAACTATTGGCGTTATAAAGGGGTTTGGCGATAAATTAGTGACCGCCATGGATTCCTGAGAAAAAGGGAAAAACGTGATTTGAAACATGTCTATCGTCCAATCCAAGGAAAAGATGGCGGTCACTAACGAGCAAATAGTGTTTACGGCCAGACGTCTAATTACCAGCATTGACAAGGAACCTATCATAAGTACCGTACAGGCATTTTATCAGTGAAAGATAACGAAACAATGTTTTGTATGTGAAACGCATTAATAAGACAACAAATACCAACTGTTTGTTAAATCCTTTTCGACTTAAATTTTTGATGCCTATTTTTGACGTTGCCTTATTTGAAGCCCGATGGAATGACGAATAACGAAAGCTCTGTTTTATCATAATTACCCCATTGGGAGTCAACTGTTTTACGTATTTTTCGTAACGAAGCTTTTTAAGGTAGAACTACTTTTTTTCTAATCAATTCAATTGAAAATATTTGAATAACTGAATGAACAGACTTGAGTCGGAAGGCTTTCAAAATGTATAAAATACAAGTAGCCTCGAAGTAAGATTGACAATAGTCACAGGGTAAAGTGTCAATGTGTATTGCAAAAGTTCAGACATAGTTTTTCTCAAAAGTAAAATAAAGTCGAGATTAATGATATTCCTTAAAGATTTGTTTATGTATATGGTGAACTATAATGGTTCTTATTTTGAACCTGTGCCGCAAGGTTCTTATTTTGAACCTGTGCCGCAAGACCATTATTGTTCGTATTATATCATACATATGCGAAGGGGAGTAACTCTAATGACATTAAATAAAAACTGCAAGTGTTGTAAAAATAACGACATGAAAATAAATCTTCAGAAAAATGCGAATATGATAACTTCCACACCATACAGATTATCAACTGAAACTCCAATGCACATCTCGGTTAATGACGTACGAATTACATCTACAGATAGCCAGAAAAAAAATAGAATCTACACAGATAACAAAAAAAATTGGATCGACCAGGTCAAATAGTCCTAAAAACTACATAAGGTTGTTGCACACCGCGCAAAATGTCTATATACCCACCCCGGGATACCGAATAAATATAACTCCAACATATTTCCAAAACTAGATTAGGCAGCTTTTGTCTTGGAGTAATGGCAGGACCAAGGAGAAAACAAGCCTAATCGCCGGATCATAGGAACAGGCAATTCAAACATTTGAAATAGGGGCCACAGCGGCTAAGTCCACTATCCCTCCACCACCGGGTCGCGGGTTCGAGACCTACGTGAGGAAGGCGCCAGGTACTGACCGTTGGTCCGTTGGTCGGTGGGTTTTTTTTCGTGGAACTCTGACTTTCCTCCACCATAATAAAAATTGGCACGTCCTTAAATGACCATAGCTGTTAATATGACGTAAAACACAAACAAACCAAACCAAACGAGCATGTGAAATAATTCCTCTTCTCACACCAAATGTAAAGAACATTACCAGGGGAGTGCTTTGCTATCGTTTTCCTCCGGGGTGAAATACTACATTTGAATGATCTTTAAGGTGCAAAATACTGACACTATTCCATACTTCCAGCTAATAAACAGTTCGTTACATCCCGTGATTAGTGGCTTTCTCCACTTCAATCCACCCTTTCTCGAAAATTCGTTTCCACTGCACTGACTACAACTGAATGGCCCATCACATGCCTTTATTACATACATTGTATGTATTGGTAAGTGGAACTAGTTACAGAAAGAACGCACACGCATCTCCACACTCACTCGCATCCATTCCATCCTCGATATCCAGGGATTACGCTCACTTTCGCTCTCTACACCCATGGAATATGTCTTAGCACTTGTGGATGAGACGAGAAGACTAGTTTGATCCTTTGATGTACATCATAAGAATCCCGCAGTCGCGTAACGGTAAAATATGACAGACTTTGAAGTCGGGCGTCGCTCCTTTGTAATCTTCAAAGGACAAGTATCAGCCTATAGTGATTGGTCATGTTTTTTCACCTTAAACCAATCAAATAGCTAGCCGCGTGCCTTCAGTTTTGCTATGACATATTTCAGAGGTGTAGAGAGCGAAAGTGAGCGTAACCCCTGACATGCACACTCCTTGCATTCGCGCTCTCGCGGACTTAAAATTAAGTTAAGCATTACAGAGGTTTAATAGCATAATTAGGAACATACAAATGTACAGTTAGCCATGCAGTTCGGACACAAACTAAGAAATGAATATAAAAGATCACGAGGAATGATGGAGAGGAGACACAAGAACGTGACCATATTAAAACCTGCGAGTACTCGATACATACATACTGTTGGACATATATAAATAAATCTTTTATTTTTTCACTCGGGTAATCTTAATGGCCAAATAATAAGTTCTCTAAGCTAAGAGGCAAGTACTTATGAAGGTTTCTGAACATTTGAAATTTTTGATCGGTATATCTACTGCATGTAAAAAAGAAATGATGAGCATTTTCATTAGGATATCCACATGCACAAATAGGAGAGT